ACATAAAATGAAAAGAGATGATGGAAATTCTCATCAAACATATTTCATTTTCAGTTGTGGCTACGCTTTTAGTGAAGAATTGTTGGTTTTCTGTGGAGCGCCTTCCAGCAGTTCCAGTCACAAACCACAGCATTAGATAACGAGTCATGTGAAAAACTCAGGTGGAAAGTCAATAGTGGCATATATGCACAGAAATGCTTTAGCCTCAATTACCCTCTATGCAGCTCTGGAATGGGGGTTTTTCCCACAGCTTTCCCCAGAGGAACAGCTAACGCTGTGATGGATCACGTGCATGGATAAAGGTACTTGCCATCAGGCTGGCATTGGGATATGGTGGAGATCTGAGTTTCATGGTGCAATTAGCTGAGTGGGGCGTGGTGATACTATAATCTAAGAGCAACCAACACCCATGCAGGGCATGTTTTGGCCACCTGCTCTTACTGCACTGATGGGTACTGGTGCTTGAGCCACCACGCCCTGCGGCCAATTCTGACGTTACAGTGCCTTTGCCACTAATAAAACATAAATAATAGTTTTGTGGAGATAAAAACGGCATATTCTTGTCCCTCCTTGTTCAGGCTGGTGATAAGGGTTGGTGGATGGCATGGAAGGGCTTTGCTAGAAAGGCAGGTTGTTGGTACCCCCATTGTGGCAGTACTTACAGGGTCCAGCTGGTGGAATGAGATGGGCAGCCTTATTCAAATGGGCCATTTTGCATTGTGTAATCCTTTGTGTGCTGTGCCTGTGGGCTTGCCGCTGCTCTTCTCACTGTCCACGGGAAACTAATCTCAGGACAGATTTTTCATCCTCTGTTGAAATTTTGCTGCTTCAGCAGCCCAGTGACAGTCATTGTCTTCTGTTTCCATGTGTGAGTTGAAGCCAGACAGAGAAACATTCTACTTTGTTTCTGAACAATGGGACTGTGATTTTTGCATGACAATTCCGGCTTGTAGCCGATGTGCCATGCTCTGCTTCTAACCATGGCCCACGACTGGTGTTCGGTAGATGCTAGAAAATACCCACAATGGATCTAGGCAGTTATGCAACTCTGCACATGAAGTAAAATTCCTTTCTAACCCCTGCAGGCAATCAGTTTACACCCTGAATGATGAGATTTTGATTACCCTTATCTAAGCTACAAATACTGTTAATGGCCGTGAAATCAGCTAGCTCTGGTAGGGCCCATCAGAGCACAGATCTTGGTGGCCTTCTGCGCCTGCAAGTCCTTTGCAGCTCCACGGGATGTCATGGTGCTGTGCCGTGGGAAATCCCATCACTGTGCAGATGTTATTTGCTGAGGCCCTGTAGATCAAAACCCAACCACCTCCAGCACAGCAGTTTTTAATGAGCAAATACTGCCCTGCAAAGCGTTGACATTGGGATCGGCAGGCTGCTTCCTCTGAGTTTGTGGGAAGAGCTTGCCGCTTCGATGCGGAGACTGGTTCCAGCATCCTGTTGCCCCAACCCCACATGGTATGTGTTATGGCTTGGGGAGCAGTTTTGCTCTCCCACTGAGCACGCTTCCCAGGGCAGCTCCATTCTTCCACGAACAAAAGCTGTTGAGCTGCAGGGAGACTCCTGGTGGGAAGGTGGGACCTTTCCCTGGGCCAGGCTGGGAATGCTGCATGAAACAAGACTGGGTGGTGTGCTGGATGCTCACAGATATGTTTTTCCTTTGATTTTCTGTCCTACATTTCACATCTAGAAAAAGAGCATAAGAAAAGATCCAATTTGAGCTAGAATTCCTTGTATCCTTCAGCCTGGCAGGAGGGAGGGATTGATTAGCTGGTAGGTTTTCAAGGCTAGCTGAGATCAATAAGTCTGGTCAGACCAGTGTGCTGTGCAAATCAGACCACAGATCATACTGGTGATTCCTGTACCAAGCCTGCCTGAGTGATAGCACTGTTGTTGTGACTTGCAGGAGGATCTCTCGCACCACTGGGATGGATGCCAGTGGAAGACCAAGGATGAAGAGACTGAGATAGGTGTGACCCAGAGGATAATGTGGCCTTCTGCATCTTAATATACCCACCTGTGAAATGCAAATAATAACAGGGGAACCTTGTAGGGATTCATTAGTGCTTTGAAGATGGTATGCGTTACGTGCTATTCCTGTGATCTTCCAAAGTTAGCCTCGTCCCTGCCTTTCGGATGTGCACCACTCGTGGTTGCTCACTTCCTGATTCACTTCCCCCTCCTCCCCAGCATCTTCAAGCTAAGTCAGCAGTGGCAAAGTCCTGTCCAGAACAGTCAGCACCATGCTGTGGTGGCTCACGGCCTGGGAAGGTGCAAAGGCAAGTCCATGCTCTTGTTCAAGCTGGGATTTGCTGTGATTGTACTGCAGATGTGGCAAGGAGACCTGTTGTGTGTGTCACCAGCGTTTCATGCTGGAGTTTGTGCGACTGACACACAATGCAGTCTATAATCTGTAGTGTGTTTTTGTGGTTTTAGAGCTAATCACAGTAAAGATATAGATTTTTGGCATGAAAGGGCATGTGGTGACAAGGAAGGTCATGACCTATGGGATGCTGGGTCCAGAGGAGGATGCAATCCATGCTGGGTTGAGGCAAAGTGGTTAGATGCTTTCCATGCATTGGGGTATATAAAACATTCGAATTAAACTTTTCCACGTCCTGTCCTTTTGAAGCAGCAAGTCTTGACAGATTCTTCTTGGAGAAGCTTGCTGACATGCCGTGGGCTGTTTCTGAAACTTCTTGCTGCCTCTCTATGTGCTCTAGAATGCGCAGGACTTGCTGTGCAACTGAAGTTCTCAGAAGCTGATGAAGTCAGGAAACTCCCATCATTCTTCTGGCTTCCAGCTCTCCTTCGTGAACTGGCCCCAGGTTGCTGAGAGTTAACACAACAGCTGTTGCATTTGTAGCAATGCAGCCAGGTGGCGTGCAGAGTCAGCTGCTGGGATGCTGAGTTGAGCTGCATACCCAGCACAAGGGTTGTAAATGAGAAACCTCTTGGGAAGGACGCTTCAGTGGAGCTTCATTTTGGGCTCAGGTAGTTCATCCTGGCTGAAGGGAGAGGATCATGATGTAGACCTTGTGTAACTGTGGTGTTGGTGGGATTTCAGGATGAACAGGACTTGCTTCTGTGGAGGTCTGGGCAAAGCTTGTATGAGACCTGTTGTAGCATTAGGTACAAACAAGGGAGCTCTGAGGCATTATATTGAAGTCTGGAAACTCAAACACATTTCCATTAGCTTGGGGTTGACTGTCTTGTTGGCTGACCACTTCCTGGGTTTTGGCTGCAGAAATGGGTGAAAACCAAAAATGTCATCTCGTGTCTTAAATTTTGTTCTTGCATGGGGTGTGTGCAGATCTGGTGCCTCCCAAACTGTGCTGAAGAGATGGATGAGACTCATGTCTCCTGTAGCATGGGGTGCGTGTGTAACTGGGTATCTCTGGAGGGGAGGAAGCCATCCTAATGTAGTGACTGACAGCAGAAATATGTCCTCTGAGGCTCTAAGCGAGGCACCTAGGTGCACAGAATGGGGATAGTCAACATGCAGAGATTCAGCCCAAAATGCTGTTCTGGCTTGCAGTGTTACATGTGACAGCAGTGCTCTACCCTTGACATTCACTAATTGAGAGCTTCAGATGAGCCCGAAGAAGCTGCAAGAAACCTTCTGTTCTGAATCTTAAGTGTTAACAGTGCTGAGAGGCTGATTAAAAATGGGAAAGTATCTTTGGAGTCCTTGGGCTTTGAAACATCTTGCTCTGGAGGTGCAGCTCATACTGCAGTGCTGGAGCTGAGAGCTCTGGACTCTGCTTTGGCTGGAAAGCAAAATATAATCTGCTCTACATTTGGTTTGTTAAATATGCCGAACAGCTATGTCTCTTCTCTTTTAGCCCTGAGGGCTTCTGGCTTGAGAGAGAGATGTAGTGGTGGGCTGGGAAAGAGAAGTTTCAATATTTTAGGGAAATAAGTGTCTAGTGCCAGTGTGGATACAGCCCCTCTGAGAGGGGAAAAGAGATGGTAGGGAGGTAAAAAGCATGCAAATTAGGACAGAAAAGGATAGCTCTGATGGGAATAATGCGTAGTTTTATTAAATATGTTAGTTTCCCTACTCGCATTATTTCTCGTTGGACATGAAGTTCATTTCCCTAGAACAGAAGCAGAGCAGTGGGAGCTGGTTTCACAGGGTGGCTGAACAGGTGGGGAGTGGTGATGGAGGAGCAGTGATGGAGCAGGAGCTGCTTGACAGAGAGCTCTGGAACCATTGAGGCTGTGCTGGGGTGAACTTGGCCGGGGCTCAGCAAGAAGGGTGAGGAGCTCTGGGCCCTGCAGGTGAGCAGGGCTAGCGGCATGCAGGCATGTGTTGCATTTCTAGTCTCATCTAATGCAACCTAGCATTGACATTAGGAAAAGTCTCCTTTACTCATTGAGAGCCATGATAGTGGTGCTGAAGCCACAGCACTTATTGCAGGGATGTGGGGTTTGCAGGGCAAAAGAAAAAAAAGGTAAGTTTTAGCACTGCAAGAGGGACAGTCCCTGGGAGAAATTTCAAACTAGGGGGTGAAACATGACTTTGTTCTTATTAGGGTTCAATTTGCCCCTCAGTAGTGGCTTTGGAGATTTCAGCCAAAACACAATGTTATTCTGAGGTGAGAATGGGGCAGCACAGCTCCCACTCTTGGGCATGGAGCACACCCTCAGAGCTGCTTGGGTGGACACTGGCATCCCTCTGGTGAGGAACTACCAAGGCAGAGAATTTAAGTAGTTATGCTGCCAGGAAGCTTTCCCTCAACTAAAACATCCCCAGGTGATACATAACCCTACTGGGTTTCCATCTCACAAGAGTTTGCCTAAACTTCATGTTGCTCAGCCTTTCTTCCTCTCTTGTGTTTTCCCAGTTGTTCCTCCATGATTATTTTTATACCATTTCCCATTTTTTTTTCCTAACTGGGGATGTAAGATAACGGACCAAGTAAGAGCTGATCTACCTGGTATGGCATCATTTATGAACTCTTTACTTTTCTTCCAGAATTGAAGCTGAGAAATGAACAAAACTGTTTCTGCAGCATCTTTCTCCCAGCTGCTTTCCTCGGTGGCTCAGCACTCTTCAGCTTTAAATCAAGATTACTGAGATGCCGTAGCAAATCTATTGTTAAAGCATCAGGATCTTCTCTCCTGCAGCACATCTGGTCCTGCAATGCAGAATCCCAAGGAAATGAATGGGCTGACTAGATTCCACTGCAGGACTGAGATTGGATTGGCAAATCCATCGATAAAGGTAATCAAGTATGTAATGCAAGGTTTGTTTAATGCACTCTTGCTGCCATGCCTCTTCTGCTGGCGCTGCTTGTTGCAATTCAAGTACACCAGAGCAAATCATTTAAACTCTACGGGTTTGTAGAATTCTCCCTGTCCCCTTACATCACGTTTTGTACTACTGATTTGTTTTCAGGTGGTTGTAATTGGGAAGAAAATCATCTCTTTTTTTTTGGAAATTTTATTCTGGTTTTGGAACTTCTGATGTTGGTGTGGATTTGAATGGTGGACAGGGTGCAGGGGGTGGGAAGATGGAATGAGAGGCAGCAATCATGGGTTGTTCCAGGGTCAGGATCTGGATCTCTTCCACCTTCCTTGACTGCTTCCATCCTCCTTTTGCTTCCAGGGCCGGGATTTGCTCTTGCTTGGTCAGTCCAACTGTGTCTGGCACACAGGGTACTTCCTTCTGGATCAGGGTGGTCAGGCAGTTGTCTTAAATCAACACGTTGTTTTACTTCTTTAGAAGAATAGAGCTTTTAGTGGAAAGATGATCATAAAAACAAAACCTGTCTAAAGATGAGCCTTCTCTACCACTCTGGTTGATTTGTGGGAAGACACCTCAGTAACCAAGAATGCCCTTTGTTTTTGTTCTCCAAATAGGATTCTACACGCTTTTAAACTACCATATCCTTCTTGGCTTTTTCCATTGTAGTTCTTTTTCAATTTCTCCCAAGAATTTACTGAGACGTACCATATCAGGCTGGTTGTCTTTTCTTCCTTTTGTTCTCCCCTCTAATTCCATGCCTGAATATGCTTACAGAAACCATGCCACGATTCAAGTCAACACACAGCTCTTTAGATTTTCCATTAACCATCTGTATGACCTCAGGCAGTTTTCTTTTTCAAATTCACCACTGTGAATCTGCATGTGATCTAATTTTTTGAGTTGAAAAGAAACGTTAAGGATGACCACGCACCAAATTAGGACTTTCTACTCACTTGGCATTGGCTTCAGTTTTAAACACTAGCAAATATTCTGATTTGAGAAATGTGGCAGCAATTTATTATGAGGATTTATACTTGAGCTCAGCTGTGTTGGTGCCTCTGGCCAAATGCATATATCATGCAAAAGTATGTGTGTTTTTTTTTTCCTTCTTCAGACAGGCTGACCTGTCTCTCCTGTGCAGCCTCTGCCTGCTTGCCCGTACTCAAGACTCTTGTGGCTCTGGTCTGCTAGGCTGCCATTTATCCACATCCTTCAAACCTTGTAAATGACTTTTCCCTCACGTTTCATTTGCTTTTCCTGGATAACAGTACACCTGGATACAATACCTGGATACACGCTGGATAACAGTACACCTGGCTCCTTCCCATGTATTCACATTCTGAAACTTCGATGTCATCTTTATTTTCTTTTCTCTCATCTACTGAGAATCTCTGTCTTATAGCCTTCATATTTCATCATTTCTTTGGGAGAGGCCTTAGCAGGGCTGATTGGTCTCCCAAGTGCCAGGTGGGCTGAGAAAAGGTTTTTCACCAATAACGTTGCTCTTTTTTTTTCTGAAGATAACTGGGAGAGACGGGGAAGGGATGAGGATTCTGCAATAAGGTTTTTCTACATGACCTGTAAGAGCAAATTTGAAATCTTTCAACAGGATCTCAAGCAAGTTTTTCAACTTGTCTGAATGCTTACTATTTAGGTTCAAACAGGATTGCTTTAATATAAACTATCTACCTTCCAGAGGTCTTGACTGACCCAGTCTTTCTATTGTCTACTGGGACAAAATAACTAAAACAAAATCCTTTCAGCTTATTTTGAAATATGAAATGGTATTAATGGTATGCCAGAGTGATACCTCTGTCTTACAAACCATTCTAAACATGGGAAGAATTCCCCTGTCTATGTGTAAGGGAAAATGAAACGATCCGTTTGTAATTTTCTTACCTTGACAAAATGCAGGGAGTGACTCAAATATGTCCCATCCTTATGGAAATTAATTGTGTTAATGGGATGATTAGAATTTAAAGCTACTGTCATCAGACTGGTTTTTGTGGCTAATGATGGTTCTTGGGAAGATTATGTCATAAAGAAGGCGGAGAACCTGGTCATCTATATATATGTGATCTGACCTGAGCCTTTTCTTTGGGTCTCATTGAGCAATGCGCTAATAGAGGCTACATAGGCAAACAGCTGCCACCCTCACCATGAAAATAGAAGGTGCTTCGGTGGTCCTTGCTCTGGCTTTTTTCTGCTTCTTCTCAGGTTAGTAACCTCTGATGCTCTCTGTGCTGGAATCTGGGACTGGAACAGCACTTAAAGACAGTGAAATAGAGGATTAGAGAGGCACTACTATTTAAAACGAGCAGTGATGTAACCAGAAGACCATTTTTTTTTTACTGTACTACTCATGAGACTGATTTTAACACTTTTTTATAATGTTTTTTCTTTTGCATGTGACAATGGTGAATTTCCTCCATATTCAAGCAACTATCTATATTTAGTGGAGTTAACAGTTTAAAAAAAAAAAAATCCTGAAACTAAACCTCCCAACTGCTTATGTGGAAGAATAAAAACTTCCAGCCAGACTGAATTTTTGCATAAAAATCTAATTTTGAACAAAAATATACTACACCTTCTGGTGTGTTCAGAAAAATGGGAATTTCTAGTCAATTTTCTTGTTAGTGAATGCATTTTCATACGGCTGCAATAGGGAAACTTGAGCAGGAGCTCAGAGTTGATGCAGTGGTCTTTCACTTCACTGTTTATGCTGAAAAAGATCTAATGGAGGATTTCTCGATAGTTCCATGTGATGCCACAGATGATGCAAGAGAAAAGGATGAAACATGTATTATACATGCTCTAAATGGCTTAGTAGAAAGGAACAGATATCAGCCACTCATCTACTGAGTCATTAATTCTGTAATTTATATGAAGTATTGCAAATGGAATGGGCCTTGAAAAGGAATTTGAAGCTTTGGACAAACAACGATATTATGGGCTGGCTTTGGTATCCCCATTTAAGGTGAAGATGAAAGCCAGTGTTTGGATGAGGTTGATACGACTACCACTGCAAACAGTTATTGATGCAACCTTGAAATTGGGATTTTAAGAGAAAAGTGACACATTAAAGGAGGACACAAAGATGCAAACAAGAAAAAACTGTGATTTTTGCATTTGAATGACAAAAAGCAGCAGTGTTCTAGAAAGTCTCTAATGCTTAGTCCTTTCTGTCAATGTACAATAATGTATTGGATTAGCTTTTATCTGGAGGTATTTGGGTGGATTAGGAAACTGCATTAAACATTTTAATTAAATGCTTTTGATTTAAAACTTCCTTTCAAAGACTTTGTATGGTTTCATTGTTGTTTATTTTCTGCAGATGTTGCCAGCCAAGCTTCAATTAAGGCGAGTCCAACCTTTTCTATTCTGTCTTTCCTTTTATATTGCCAACTATGCTGCTTAATGCATGCTCTAAGCAAAGTCATACAGACAAACCGTACTGAGAGATCATCATGCTTTTCCTGTGGCTGAAAGAGAGGAGTTATTTTCTGTGTTTAGAGACAGTCAGCAATGGCTCTAGCTGTGTGTTTGGTGTTTTATGCTGAACAAACATCCGAACTGCTCTGGAATGAGGTTAGAAATGGCGTGAGCTGTATTTCTAGAGATATTTCAAAAATGTGCTTCTGATCCAGCAGAAACCCCCATTTCTGGTAACTTCTGAGTTTGATAATTATAATAATTAAGCAAAGCCCTTTGAGACTCAGAAAAATGATTTGATTCAATGGCTGAGAAGTCAGCTTCGTTCATGTTTTAATCAAATAAGCTTCTCTCTCCTTAGTAAAGACTGTTTTGGAAAACATAGTAGCCAAAAATAACGAAATGCTTCATTAATTCTCTACAGCCCACATTCCCAGTTCCCCTGCAGAAGAGGCAATTGGCTGATGCAGAGTTAGACATTATTGCTGCCATCCCTGAAGAGTGTGCTTTTGTGGTTCATCCCTTGCACCCAAATCACTCCTCAGTTACTCCGCTCTGGCCAATTGCTTTCACATCCTGCTGGCACTTCTAGGGCTGTATGTTATATTCAAGAGCATAATAGAGTCCTCCCCTGCAGCGGGTAGCAATTTGCAGCTGTATGCAAATTAAGTGTGTATTCCTTTTCTCATGAATAATGGCCTTTGCAATGAGTTTTGAACTTTCTTCTTGCCTTGGGAGCCACGAGCAGAGCTCTGAGTGCAGCAAGGGATGGGGGGGGAGGGGAAGGGGAGGAAGAGTGACAGCCCCAACCCCCAGACAATCAAATGTGAATGAACTGTTTGCAGGACCTTGATGGCCTCCGAGAGAGCCCACCGTTGACCGTCCTCCTCCGTGCATTTCAGAACGAGTGCATGAAAATCTGGTCCCTCCTTCGCAGTGGGAAGTTCTCCTGTCACACCAACAGGCAGCCCATCAGAGGACCCGATGGCAGGAGGGACCTCAACAAGTGCCTGATGTGCCAGCGGCTGCTGTGAGTATCGGCCCCTCGGAGCCCTGGGCCAGCCAGAGCAGTTTGCAGTTGTCCAGCAAACCAGTGGACCCGGCAGTGTTGTTTTGTTTCTCTAGAGGATATTGAATAGGATGGGAACAACTGGATGCTAGGCAGTGAGAAATGATGGCAAAATGCCACCAGTGAGGAGATGCTGAATACCCTGAGCATGTCTCATGGGGCTGGAGTCCTGGTCTGTCCCACTGCATTGCACAACAAGGAGGTGGGGTTGGCAGGGCTGCTTTTAATCACCGGTTATTTTGGCTTTACATCTGAACACTGCGCGCCACTCTGTTGCTCACACCTCCCTTTTTTGCAGGGAAAGATACTCCAGAAACAAAGGGAGTGGTGAAGAAGCAAACAGGAACGTGAACTCTGGAGAGGTGAGGTGAAACATCGGCCGCTCGGCTGGCCAGCAGCAGGGTGATGCTGTGGGGTGGCCCTTCTGCTTTCTGGCCTGTTCCCTGCTTGCAGCGTGGGGAATGCCAGCTTAGCTGATGTGTGTAGGTCTGGTGATGCTCAGGGCAGAGCAGCTGGAGCAGCAGCCAGCTTTGTGCTATCTGCCAGAGTAAAAGAAACCTGAACTCTGTTCACACAGTCTCTATCAGGCAATTACTGACACAGCACCTATGGTCTGTGTTTGGCCAGAGCATAGGCTAAGGAAGGTACCTCCTGTTTATAAAGCACATGGTTGGCATCTGGCAAGTAATTAGCGATGGCGTGTGAGAGCTCTGACTAGGGCAGGGTGTGGGACAGGCTGGATCTAATTGTGCCCTGTTTATCTTGTTGATGCACATGGCTGCTTTCTTTCACCCACAGCTGTCTCTCTAGACAGCACACCTTTATGGAGTGGGACTTGTCTTTTCCAGTCTTGGGTTTTCATTCAGAATTGGAGCAAGCTGGTTTCCATCAGATAGCATTAGCTGTTGTGATTTATTCTTTTATACCTCCTGGTTAAGCAGGATAACTTTCTGGCTCTGCTGTGTCCAGGCAATTTAAATGATTTATAAAGCATAGCTATTCTAAGGAAATCTTTTTTAAACATCTGACTTGCCAGCGTGTGGTCCTAAAGGCAGAAGGACTGTTCCAGAGTGTCAGGCAGAGACCTACCTTGGACTTCATTGTTCAGCCACCCGTTCAGTGTGGCTTTTGGCAAGGAATGCTCTGGACTTGACTTTTCCCTACCTGCATAGCTGGGATAAGCTATCAAACCATCTCCTCCACTGTGAGGGGAGAGAAAAAAAATGTTAAACTTGCTGAATAAAGGAGCCTTAAGGCTCAGTATAGCATGGGTGATGCTGATGCCCCAGACCTGTTTGCGAGTCCTGAAGGTCATAGGAAAACTGCTCAGAAGAGGCAGGAATGCTTAAGAAGGTTTTACTGCAAAAGTCTTGTGATGTTAACACACAATGTCATGTTGGGCAGAAGGTACAAATGCCCCCTCCTGTCCCTGCATACCTGGAAGCTTGAGGTATGGAGGGGTTTTTTGTTGTCTGCAGCCTCTGCTGCCCTCTGCTTTTTAAGATTCAGGGTAGTGTGCTCCCTCAGCAGTTTGAGAAACCAACATCTTCATGCAAAATTAAACAAGAAAGTGTTGCTTTTATACTTACAGTAGAATCTAAGTTCTTCAGGCAGGCTCTTGTGTGCCGCCTCTATTAGAAATAAAACTCCCCTGGATCAGAAGATAAATGTACACAGCTAAGAACACAGATTTACTTGCTTTACATTGCGTGCTATGGTTTAAGAAAAACACATCAGGCAAACAATTGATGGTTTGCCACTGAGTTATGCCTGAAGGAAACACAACTGTTAGAGATGTAATTGATTGGGCGGTGACGCTGTGTGGATTCATGGGAGATGCATCTTGGTCAGCATATCTGTGTGAAACCACATTTCTGGTGCTGCTGCAGGATGAGTGCCGGGAGTTCCGGGATCTGTTCAAGAATGGGAAGCTTTCCTGCACCAGGGAGAACGATCCTGTCCGGGATTCCTCAGGGAAGCAGCACAGCAACAAGTGCATCATGTGTGCGGAGAAATTGTGAGTAGAGGAAACCAATGTTTGTTATCGAGAGTGGTAATGGGGCTGGGGTGGGCTCCTACAGCAATGTTCTCTTCACTTTCTCATCCTTCTTTGCTTTCAGCAAAAGGGAGAATGAGCAGAAGGCAACTTCAACCAGAGGGAAACAAAAGGTGAGATTAAAGTACTGGGTCAAGATACAAGTCTATAGGATTCCTACCCAATATTGCCACACTCAATTTCTTTGTTACTTTGGAGATCCACGTGGCTTTCCCTGTCTGTTTCTCATTGATGTCCTTTCATATCCTGAGTGAATAATTTGTTTGAATGCTGTGGTCTATCCCACTGACTGCAGTGACATGGGGACAAACCCCATCACAATAAGAAGCTGAGCGGAACTGCCCTGATATCTGGCACGAGGGTGGAGAAGGCACTGCTGCTGAGAGCGCTAATGAGATTGAAAAGAAAATCTGGGTGAAAAGCTTTAGATGTGAGCTCTGAGATGCTCAAAAGTTCATTATGTCGTGGGAGGAGAGTTCAGTCCTGTGCTGTCCCTTGGGTGGCTCAGTTTCAGCTTTCCTTGATTGGAAACCTCACTCTCATGACGCAGCCACTGTGACCTTGTGCACTGATACTTCTCTGGTGAGAGCAATTCAGCAATGGGGAAAAAAAAGCACTAAGTAAATCTTGCCATTTCTGTCTTGCTAGGAACTGGTATGGTCCCCTTAAGCCTCATTCTTGGGGATAATCCTGTTTCAGTGCTTTTCCTAATAACGGTGGCACAAAAAAAAAGTGGAAGCGTTAATGAAACTTGCTGATGGCAAAGCTGGGAGGGAGGATCAGCAGATCACTCAGGACTAATTGGATAGCACTGAGGCCTGGAGTAATAGAAACAAGATAAAATGTAATAACAGAGAGTGCAAGATCACACAGGCAGTGATTAACGAGAATTCCTGCTCATCAATTAGAAATGACAAAGGATAAGAAAGCTCTGCATTTATTAGTGGGTCACGGATGCGGCAGGCCTGCGAAGGAGGCAAATGCACATCTCAGCAAAGCTTGTGCAGCAGAGGTCGGGCTGACAGCAAATCTCCAGAAATACTGCTTTAAAGGGAGAGGGTTTGAGAGACACTGTTAGGGGGAAGCAGTTCTGCCACAGCAGGTCTGGGGTTCACCTGGGGTTTGGCTCATTGCCTCACTGTGTCCCTCCTTCACCCAGCCAGTGTGGCACTGGGAAGGTGTGGGTAAGAAGTCATGGTTAAGTTGGATCTGGTTATGCACCTCCTATTTCTGCAATTTGGAGTTGGCTATTGCAGGGCCTCAAATAGCTGACTTAGAAGTGGGGACTTTGAAGCACGTTTGCATTGTGCCGTCATGCTTCAGATGTTGCTGCTTGGTCCTCAAAGTGCTGTTGGTTGTGGGGGGGACTTCTTCTTATGTGAAGTTTTCTGAGTGGCAACTTAAAAACAGCTGTAAGGGTGTATTAAGGGCGGTGGGAGAAGTGGGAGGGACCCCATTACCTTATCAGGCACATCGCTGGCATGCTCTGGATAGCCCCACGTGGAGCATGACAATTAGAGCATGGCAGAGAGCTCCTAACACGTGCCATGCAGGCAGAGGCACCCGCCGCTCTTCTGACTCACTCTGTTTGCAGCCATGTGGCTGTGCCACACACCCTCTTCCATATCTCACACCCGGGCTCTCCTCTGGTGTGTTTGGGAAGTCTCTGAAGATCAGAGGGATGTGGCAGGGTGCCCTAACTGCTGCTCCTTCCGTAGGATGACTGCAGTGAGTACCGTTCCCAGTTTGAGGCTGGTGGGCGGCTGTCCTGCACACGGGAGAATGACCCCGTCCGGGATTCCTCTGGCAAGCAGCACACCAACAAGTGCCTCATGTGTGCCGAGAAGCTGTGAGTACAGTTCCTGGCAACAGCAAAGAGGGAAAGCTCATGCTGCAAAAGTGCAGCTTCTGCCGGTGTGGCTGCGCCTGGGGGAGTCCCGAATCCCAGCGGCCCCCCAGGAGCTGCTCCTGCAGTGGGGCTGTGGATGTTGCCCCTCTTCCCACCCTCCCCCTTAAACCCTCAGGGAGCAGAGGAGAAGCAGGGTTGATAGAGAGCAGCCCTTTCCTTGGGGCAGCTCCCAAGGGGTTTCCCACGCGTGTACTTTGCCTTCCAGATGCTCTCTGTCCACTCCCATAGAGCATATGCAGAAGCAGCCCTGATATGAAAGCAGCCACCTGGAGCCGGGATGTAGCGTACAGTGGGAATGGTGAGGAGAAGGGAAAAGGCTTAGGGGGTGGGAATTAGGTGCAGGGCCACCAGGGATGGGGAGGCTGGTGCCTAATGACATGATGCTGGCTTGCAAGGTAGCCCCAGGTCCTGGCAGCATTTGCACCGCCATAGTGCTCCTTTCTTTCTCCTCTCCCCTTTTTCCAGCAAAAAAGAAGCTCAAAGAGGAGGTCAGTCTGGAACTGCCCAGCGCAACAAACAGTCTGCTGCAGAGTGTGCAAACCAGGTGAGACTGAGCTCGGATCATCACCAGGCTTGGGAAAAGGGGTCAGTGGGTGTGGGGACCCTGATGGTCAAGGGTTACCTGTGGTCCTGGTGCTTGAGGTGCAGGAGCCTGCTGGTGATGGCAGAGAGGCAGGTTGCATTGCAAGTCCTGCTGGTTAATGGGATGGGTTTGTATATAAGCATGCATAATGGGCAGTTTTGGACTCCTCTGTGGGGCAAGCATCAGAACTGCTTCTTCATAAAGAGCTCCGTGGTTCTTGGGGGATGAGAAGGAGGGACGGGAGCTGCTTTAATCTCACTGCTTGGTTGTAAAACACGATCCTGTCTATCTTCCAGAAGAGCTGCAGTGGCTCAGGGTTTCAGCAGGGTATGAATGAGAGACGGCCATTCTCCACAAACAGAGAGTGAGTACATCAGCACTGGGATCCCAGCCTGGCCCACAAGTCCTGGGGTCTTGACACTGAGAAGAAACACTTAGAATAGGGCATATATACAACACTCTTTCCTTTTCAAAGGCATTCTTGCTTCCCCTGCACGCAAAGCAGTGGTGACTGCTGCGCTCAAAATCCCTCCCTAGCCTTGCCCCCGAATCCTGCCTTCTGGCAGGCACACAGCTGTCCTGTTGCCTGGCCCAGTGCATCCTCATCTGCTGACCTGAGGCAGTGCTGCGCGCACCATGTGCTGTCTGGGCACTGAGCAACCCCTGAGGGATTTTAGGGCTGCCAGACTCTGGCAGGGCTCAGTTACTGTGTTGTCTAAGCCTTGAGGAACTCCCTTAATCTTCCTGCTTTTTGCTGGTGCAGCCCATTCATCTGCCCCCAGCCAGCATTGCCAGCAGACAGAGTGCAGAGATCTCCATAGCAGCAATGGCTGTTGCAAATTCAGGGACCAGGTTTCTGGGATCATTTCTATGATGAGCATCTGTTGCTGACCACCCCTAAGGATTCAAAGGTCCTGTTGCAGGGAGTGCCTCCATCCCATGGCAAGCCAAATGTCCTGTTGAAAAACAAGGTACAAAATGATGGCAATGCACCTTAGTGCAGTTCAATTCCACCCTGGGGTGATGATGTGGCTGAAAGCATCTGCACATCTGTGGCTGTGTCGTGAGCTCTATGCTTTCTCTCCCTGCCAGCCCACAAGGAAACTTGGCTCAGGACTGCAGCCCGGCACCCGGCCGCCAGGGACAGAGTGGAGGCACCAACACCTACCAGCCGGTATGCCAAGCTCCCACGGGTCAGGCACAGCCTTTCCCAGCAGCTGCCCCAGTTTCTGTTGCAATCTCTAGCCTCACAACGGGACCTGTATCCTTAGAGGGGTTTAGGTGGGTGGTAGAGTCTCTACCCTGATGCTGTCCCCTGGCATCAAAAGGGAGTGAGGCTGGATGTGTCCAAACGGGAGTCTCTGAAGCCAGTGCTGATGCTGGCGTTGGCTCATTGTAGAAGTATGTCAGGTATGGGAAGCAGTCTCCAGGAGGTGAAGGTAGTGGCCCTTCCTGAATGCTGAGATGTTGGGTCAAAGACCATGGCCAGAGCAGGGTGCTGGGGCTGACTGGGGGGCTGACAAGAGGAGGGCAGAGGGAGTAGTGGGGGAGGACACATTGAGCAATAGATAACGACTGTATGTGGAATCATGTGGGAGGGAGAAGAGGGTGTATGCTCTCTCCATCTCAACAAGAACAAAATTTGTTATTTTTAACGAAGCTAAAGTAGAAATTATGAAACTAATAGGAGAAAATAAGTTACTATAAAAAGGATGACTAACCTGTGGATCTTGCTGTCACAGGGTGTTGCCAAGAGCTACAATGATTAAAAAAAATGACTTGCCACTTATAGTCCATACAGCAATTTAGGTACCATTTTGGAAGGGATAGGTAATGCCTTTCTGTGGGGCTGGAGGGACCTGACTGCAGACTGCCTTAACTCTCTCTGAAGTCTCTGTCACTGACTGCTCTTAGAAAAATGATATTAGAATAGAAAAACCTGGGAGGCGGTTCAGGTAGGGCAGTTTTAATGCATTCCAGAGGAAGCATTAGGCATAATAATGCCAGTCTGCTTCAGGGCTTAGTGGTATTTCCTGATAGCTCCAGTGAAGGAGTGGATGCTGATCAGCCTGACTGACGAGGGGTGATTCAGAGAGCAAACCTGCCCCTCTCCTCACTCCAGGACCACCCGTGAGCTTTGTCCCAGGGAGATGCTGTCCTGAAGGAGAGGCAGCAGTCGCTGTGAGGACTGTGGGGGACTGCTGGTGTGGTGGTGGTTGCACACGTATGGGTCACGCCGTGGGCAGTGGTGTCTGGTGTGTGGGAAGGCATCTGGCAGGGAACTGCAAAGGTCAGCGCTGTGTGTCTTCGTGTCATCGTTAATTACCCAGATGAGGGAGGAAGCAGCACATTAATGAAATTAGCAAGTGATGTTTAAACAGAGGGTGTTACTGCAGCACCCTGTGCCGCTGAACCCTCAGCACTGCCCAGCTGGGAAACCTTTCTTCTCCACGGTGCTTTCAACCCCGTAGTGCTGCCGACCCCAGCAAAACAATGAGTCATTGCTTTGTGCTGAATGGTGTTTCTCCAGGTGGGACAGGAGGCAAAATGTCCTGCCTGCAGCTCTTCTCCGATTTCAATGACTGCAAATGGTGCAACACCTTTTATAGGACCTGGGGAATTCACTCCTTTTGTCTCTGCATTTTTTTTTTTTTTTTTCAGTCTTTGGTGCCCACCTTCAGCAGAGGTGGGTGGTGAGGCTGAGGAAGAGAGAGGGCTGTAGGATCTCCGACCTCTGCTGTCTGAAACTTGCTATGACTCTGCAGGCACCTGTGCCAGTGTGCTTGCAGGGTGACGATCTAATCATGAGGAGTCTTGTTCCTCCTGCTCTGAGCTCCTTCTAGCTGTGCCACGTCTGCTTTGTAGGAAAATTGATGCTAGATGCTCCTGCTGTCATGCTCGAGAAGAAAGAGAGGGCACACTTAATTAGTCAGAGCTATTCATACATGTTTGCATCTCTTCATTCCGTGGGTGTCAAGTTGTGCTGCATGTCAGGCTGCCCTTGGGCGGCTGGACTTGATTGTCGAGGTTTTCCCTTCATTTCTGCCAAGTGTCTTGCAGAAGCAACAGGCATGAAAGCCCTGATAAAGGACTAGGGACAGGTAGCAGACATTCCTTGTATTCTTGTGGATTTGCAGGGAGAAGTAAATGCGCCCTGGACTGAGATGTCAGGGTGGATTGGATGAGTGGGTCTGTGCCTGGAAGTGGGGTCTGGGCAGCTTTGTCCCCAAATCGTGGCTGGTTGGCTCAGCAGGAGGTGTTACCTCTTTGCTGAAGATGTGGTGGATGTGCTGGAGGGCAGAGGGGCTCAGGGCAACGCCTGGTTTGTGAGCCCTTTAAGTTGTGCATAGGAGGGTCTTGCAAGAGAACCAGCACCAAATGTCATTTCTTTCTCTCTTCAGCTGGACTGTGATCGAATTCTGCACGGGGTAAAGGGTGGAAGGATTTTCTGCAGCGAATCCTCACAACCTGTCTGTGGCACTGATGGGAAAACATACAAAAATGAATGTGACTTGTGTTCAGCTGCCATGTGAGTAGGCGGAGAGATTTCAGTAATACAGGGCCATCCACCATTCCCGAGTGTCTTTTGCAGCACAGTGTTTGTTTTGATGTATCATGACTCACTATCAAGTGTGTCCTTGGTGCCTCGCTGTTAAGCAAACATAGATCAAATGTCTGAGATTAATCTGATGACAGCTAATTAAGATACACAACTTTCCAGAGTCCCTTATTCCCTTTCTGCCCAATCATAGGATTGTTTGGGGAGTAATAAATGCCATCAAATTGGAAGCAGTATCAAAGCTTTAAGGAGCCCACAGAGGACCACCGTGTCGATGTCAGAGAGCTGTGGCACTGGAAGTGAATAAGCAATGTCTTGTCCTCCCTTTGCAGGAGAGCATCAGTTTACATCACAGTAAACTATCGAGGTGAATGCCGAAAGACTGTCCCTGAAATGGTAAGTGCCTCCCTGCTACGGCATCCTGGTTTTTGTTCTAGTGTGTGTTGGAGTCCCAGCCTGGATCCTGTATCTGTGGTGGGATCATCAGAGCCCTCTTAGGAGGGTGCATGTAGTCCACACATGAAACACACTTCAGATTCAGGTTTAAGTCATTTTGAAGCATAATTTCCATGTTTTCCCAGACATGTCACTCTCCTACCATACAGTCTGGATAAAATATGTGGCTTTTCTCCTGGGATTTTGGTGAGGCCAAAAAAGACTGCAGTTGTATAAATCACAAGGGCCTAATTTCCCAAATGATATTCAGGGATTTGGTTGGGAAGGAAATATATTCCCTAAGTGGTATTCTTTTGGGAAAGGTCTTGTGTGATTCTCCTAGAGTAGATGAGTCAAAGATTTGTCAGTGGTGCTTCGTCTTCCCACTCATGGCAGCTCAGCAGCATCCAGAACTTTGATTTGGAGCCAGGGTGTCCTAATTCGTGTGTTTTGGGTGTATGGGACTGACCTCAGTGTTGGCATGGACTGCTGAGAAACTGAATGTTCATCCCCAGGAAAACACTGACACTTACTCCCATTCCAAACTTGGAATGAATCAAAATATCAAATCAGCTAAATGGAGAAGTTGTGCAAGATTTTTCTTTTCCCAATGAGAGATATGGCTTCTGAATGTGAATTTGCTGACAGTGTTTGTAGGTAAAACAGTATTGCCTGTTGAAAAAGCTTTAGAGCAAAATTACCATCATAGGGCTTTTACTCTCCTCTGCTCATTGCCAGGATGTCCACCCATACCCAAAACTTTAGAAATGAGGCATTCCCATTCTTCTTCCTCTCTTCTATGAAGTACCAGAGTGCTCTCAATGCTGTTTAAAGCTGAAGAAAAAGTGCAGAGAAAAACAGTTTTGCTTGTGATCATGCTGTGGAGGTCTGTGTGTCTTGTTCTTTGGTGTGATGAAGGCATTGTGGTTCGTGTATGCTGGGAGTGGAGGCACTATGCGTACCTGTTGGTGGCTGTGCTCACGCTGCTGGAGACAGACAAGACTGGGTGTACCATGGCAACTGAAAACCAGACAGGATTCCCTCAGAGTTGTGCCTGGGCTGGGATTCCTCACCATTTTGTGTTTTACCAAGATGTTACAGCTCTTGGGTCTCTGCAATTAGAGGAATATGCCATAGCACTAGAAGTCAGACAATTTGTAGCTATTCCAAGGAGAGCTGGAAGCAATTAAAGGGGAAGTGATAAGATTTTTCCACTGGGGAAAATCCTCCACAAAAACACCCCTCCAAACAAAGACTTATTATTTCTTTCTTTATGTATATTGTGTCACCTGAAGAATCAGATTGGAAATTTATGGAAGCCCATTTCCTTAGCAAACCCCTTGTGTCCGTCAAAGACTTTCCTTTTTTCTCAGTTGGAAGCTTATGAACAATGTACTGATCAGTGTTATTTTCTGCCACTGAAATTCATGCTAACATTCAGCTTAATGCATCCTTCTGAAGGCCCAGGCACTCGCTGTGTGGAGGAGATCACAGCGCCTTTGGCATCAGAAAAGGTTGTAGGCTGTTGCAATATGCAGAAGAAAGATGCAAAGGCCCAAAGACTTGAGTCTTGGAAAAATTTTGCTGCCCAAAAGTGTAGTTTGTCCTTGAGTCGTGTTTTGAAATTAGCCACGGTAATGCTGTGCTGCCTCACAAAATGTGTGTCCAAGCTCAGAGCCTGCAACCACTCCTGCTAGCAAAGCTCCTCCTGGATTTCCAACAGCTTGTGGCAGTCCTTCCCTACCAGCGGCCGGATTGCCATCAGGGAGGGATGGCTGTAGGAAGGGACAGGAGAAGTCTGGCTGGAGAGAGATCTGACATTAAAGGGTGTGTCTGGACAGCGTGCACTGATGTGGTGGAAAACCTTCCTGCAGAGAGAGCCCTGGGGCTGGCTGGCAGCCCCTGCTGCCTGTGTGAGGTCTGTGCCATAACCAGCCTCCTCTGATCCTGTTCTGCTTTACTGCAGATGAATGTAGCAGAGTCCACGGTTTCGATTTTTATTTTTATTTTTAACAAGGCAGCTGGCCACTGTGTCCTTCATGCTGTGACATATAGCTGTATTAATGGTGGGTCTTTCCAGAATGTTTTACTTTCAGTGCTGTATTCTTTTTTTTTTTTTTCAGTTTCTCTTTTTGTTCAGATGCTTCTTCACAGATCTCCCTGTGACAGATACCAGTCTGTCCATGTTAGTAAACAGGTCAGGCAGAAAAAAAAATATGCAGTTTCTCCTTTTTAATTTGTTTTCTAAAGAACAGAGAACTCGCAGATTTCTAACGGGCAAGGCCATTTTCTTACAATGCTCTTTTTGTCATGCCTTTCTTAAGAATGTAGAAGAAGGGGAAAATAAGATAAAAACTAACAACAAAGCAGGACCTTTTCCAGCTAGATGTTGGTTTTAGAAACACATAGATCCAGGCTGAAATTTGTCTGTTTTCTGAGGCTGGCAGTGACCCACCCACTGCCCCGGTGCCACTTTGCATCCCAGCTGGTTCCTGTGGCCACTGAGCTGTCCAAAGGGGCTGCCATCTAGGTCCTAATGCTCTGCCAGCATAACAGCAGTGGTTGTGCTTGTGGATGGACTTATATTTTGCTCTTTCTTTCCAGAAATAATGGAGTTCAGACTGCCAGCGAATACCAGGGATCAGCTGTGACCAAAGGTACAGTGGTGCGGTGATTTGCTCCCTCTTGGACAACTTGTCCACATTTCACAAGGGTTTGGGTGTCAAATCTTGCCTGGGCAAGCTGTGGGGTATGTCTGGGGCAAAGGGCTCTGCAACACACCCTTCCCTATTGCCACAGCACTAGGATGGGGTGTGTGTCTTCTGCAGAAGTAGCAGAGTGAAGGGAAGCCCCTGCTGAGGGGGCTGAGCCCATTGGGCTGTGCAAATATCATGAAGACTTCATCTCTAGGGGGGTGGGCCATGCCCATTCCTTTTCCCCTCAGGCATCCCTGCAGAGGGAAAGGATGCTGGCAGAGCAGAGTACTGCAGTCCCCAATCACAAGGAGGTGGAGGTGGCCCAAAGCAACCCAGCTTTGAGCTTTCCTTGTGGTTCTTCTGTGTCCCTTGCCTTTTGGAACTATAGTAATAAACCATCTACCCCGTTTCTTTAGGACAAGTAAAGGAAGATCTGATGTCAAGCACCAGGGAAGCTGCTGAGTTCCCAGTGCTGTTGGATCCACCTTCATCTCCTTCTGCAGCCATCAGGCCTGTCCTCGCTCAGGTGGAGGGTGAAGGGCTGTGGGGACCCAGTGGTGGCTTCCCACGTTGGCCCCACACATGTTGTTGTAGTCGCTGCTCGGCTCGGGCTCTGCCCCCTCGCTGTGTCTTAGCATGTTTCTACAATAAAGATAACTCCACAGCGTCCTGTCGCTTTTCTTCACTGAGCCTCACAGGAGGGACGTGTGAGTCCCCGGTCCGGCTGCTCGCCGCGCGTCCCTTGAGCACTAAGCACCAAACCCAAGTGAAGATGTCAGACACAGACAAGAAGAATGTGGTCTGGGTTCTGTTAGCAGGGACCAGCAGTTGGGTTCTCTGACTTGCTGTAGGGCCTTGGGTGTATCTCTTTGCCTCCCTTCAGCCCTTTTCTCTTGCCTGTAAAAAATGGACATTAAAAGATGCTTACCTACCTCAGAGGGTTGTTTGGAGATTTTAATTGGTTTGCATTGGAGAGCCCACAGACGGAATTCTGTTCCTACGCACCAATGCTGGAGTGCAGGACGTTTAACTGTTGCAGTCATGGCCTCTTCCAGCCAACACCCGATGGGCCGTGTGTATTTCCTGTTCTTTCGTTTATGGCTGTTACTTAAAGCAAATATGTTCTTATTTGTATAAACTTTATTGCAGGACATTTCCAGAAGACCTTGAGTGAACGTACAGTGTTTGAGTCCACTTTAGCTATGACCTGATCTGCAAATACTCTCTGTTGTAGATAAGGCCGGAGTGACTTTCAGGTTTTGGCAGAATTTCACTCAATGCCAATTAATTTGGCTCCCTCCACAGATATTGATTTTTTTTTTTTTTCAATTAAGTTATCGCGATCTTTTTTTTCTTAATGCAGCTAATGAAAATCGATTTTTACTCTCATAAAGTACTTCCGCATGTATCACATTTATCTGTCTATGGTTTGATTATCAGCAGGCTTTGACACAAGATTAATATTTTGTGTGCTGATTTTTTTAATGTGTGCAAACACTGTGGTTTAGAAGTACGTTATCTCTGCTTATTTCTATGTGGAAAATCCCACCTTGCAGTTATGCATGGCAGAAGTCACCAGTTGGATCCAATTTAGCTGTTTCTAGGGATGCAAGATTCCTCTGCCTTTGAGCGGGTGAATCCTTGAATGTTATTTATACTTTCTGAGAAGGATGAATATCAGATGGTAAAAATGTTCACTAATGATGTCTGCTCGCTGATTCTAGCTAAAATCGTGTGCAGGGACCTCTACGTGATTTTTGTAAAAGCAGTACACAATTTGAGGCTTAAAATAAGTTCTTGCAAATGAAAATCAGCGCACTTGAGAGCGCTATTATAACTTGTAGTGATTTCAAGCATTTAGATTTTGAAATAATCACCCATAAAACCTGCATTAATTGTCCTCCAAAACCAATGAGCTGATGAGGAGGGTGCCCTAGTAGCCTCTTCTGCTGGATTTGAGCACCTTCTGAATTTTTCCCGCTACCAGCACAAATTATCCACAGAAATCATAGCTGGTGTATTAATCAGATTACAAAACTGCTAAGAAGGCACACAACAGTGACTTTCTAAAGCTGCCTGTGCTGTAGTGAGCCTACTGTAGGTAGCAATGCTAACTTCTTCCTTTTAGCAGGTTTACCCACTGCTACCTTCCATCATTCCTTCCTCTTGTAGAGCCTCCTTTTGCAGTTTGATCTGGTGGCTTGCAGGCGATGTCTGTCCCCAGCAGTGCTCTAAGCAGCTGACCTCCAGGTAGGGCTCTGTGTGAGCAATGCAATGTGTTATTTCCATGGGGTTCCTAAGAAGGAGGAGGCAAAAAGATCAAGAGGTGCTCCAGATATATTATTCTGTCTTCTGTTTTGCTCTTGGTTACCCTTTGTGGTGCCCTTTAACACTGTAAAGAGACCAGTCCTCTATAAACCTGGAAAGGTACCAGCACTCTGGAAAGTCTTCAGTTTGCTGTAAATTGCGCTGTATTACAGGCGTTTCTTTTGCCAAGACCCACCGACCCCACGTGGCTCGCAGTGTTTTCTAAGGCTTTGCAGGACTGGTGTTACGAATTGGCAGCCTCCAGGCCTCTCACAAATCTCCTGCTTCTCACAGCGTTTCTTCGACTTTTCCCAAGCACAACTGGGTTTTGAGCTCAACTGCTCCCTGCAGGGGCCTTGAGCCTCCTGCTTTTTTGCATAAAAGGTGTCAGGTACTTATGCAATCCTTAGGGGCATGCAAATGCTGCTCTGAGGACTGTTGATTCTGGCAAAACCCTTTGTAGACCTTGTACTCCCTTGCTATTTCCCAATCCCTGCAGTCTAGCAGCTCTGCCCACCAACTCCCATGGCCAACACAGCAGCAGTCTGTGCTTGCTGCAGGGTGATGTGGAAAGTGATGATTGTATGGAAGTGTGATGCTGTGGTACTGCCTCTGCAGGAGCCTCACACTGTGTAGGAGGACCCTATGTGTCTACTGCATAGCTGTCTCGTGGCTGTCCATACATCCCTAGGATGCTGAACCCTTCCAAGCAACCACAGCATATGGATCCCTGAGGGTTTCAGCCTTATCTCCCTGGATTATCAGAGGTTCAGCTCTGTGGCCCATCTGATTTATACTTGGGGTCTGATGAGCAGGCTTTTCTCTTTAGGGCTCCTATTCAGCACCTTTTGGTACATCTCCCTTCCCTGCAAGTCTCTCTGATACGCAGAGCTCTTGTCCAAGATTTGGGACCTGCCCTACTTCAGCCCTCTGCAGGAGATTTCTTGCTAAGCAGCCCTCCAACCAGGACCGCAGTACGCGACAAAGAGCTGGAAGAGGTCTACAATACTTCCCCAGCATGAAGGTATGAGCACTCTTTTTGAGTAGGTCACTGAAGGCAGTAAGATGTCAATATAACCAACTGCAAGATACAAAACCACATGAAAATTCACAGTTTACCTTGATGCTGAAGGGCCAAAAAGAAACACTGTGGTGTTAGCACAGACACACTGCTGGCAAAGTGAAAATGAGCAAAGAGGATGAGATGGATGGACAGCTGATGGAAAAAGCTCTTCCTAATTGCTCCACAGAAGCCAGCTTGCCTGCAGGGCTGCAGCATGGGGCTGCTTGTGCATTACGCAGAGACCCTAAGACTAGTGCTGTTTGTCTTAGCAAAGGCATAGCTACAGCTGCAGCAATATTTTCTAGATGTCAGTTCCTTCCCTACATTACTGACAGGTGTTTGCTGTTCTGTCCCTTTAATCTGTATCCTATAGCAAACATTCCTTGAATTTAATAACTTAGCTGGAAGACAATTGCTGTGATCTTGATAGAACATGCTGAGTCAATCTATTTTAACTGCAGATTTAGTTTGCAAATACTGTCTCCTTGCTGATAAGATTCAGGTGTCATCTTTGTGGACATTGGCAGGAATTTTCTTGACCGTGACAGGTTTTACAGAGTCTGGCAATTAAGCTGTCAAGACACATTTTCCTCTGCCAGGAAGCACTAATTGATGATAGTCTTGGCTGCAATAGGCACAGAGAGATGGATATTGTAATCAGAATGAATAGAGGTCCTTGTAGTTGAGAGCTACGTTGGTCCAAAGGTTTGGAGTCCTTGACATTTGGTGATATTGAGATAAGGAACAAGGCAGGAGATATCAGAGCTGAGTATCAGACACAGTATGTGAATAGAGACCTCTCTAGCTGGAAACATTGATATCTGGGGAGATTTTAACTCTGTGGATGCATACTGCAAAGTACTAATATTAGCAGAGCTACTGGATGTGAGAGCAAATAGAGTTTTCCATTAAGTAATCCCCAAAATCATGTTATTGTGGGTTTGCTTTTCGAGCGCAAGGGGTGTTGGAGATGTACTTCCCTTAGAAAATAAACCTGATATGATTCAACCTGAGCTCACTCTGTTTAAATCACACTGAAAGTAGATCTGCAAATAGGGATTTTGATTAGTGAGTACAGAATATGAAAGATTAAAACTTGGCAAAGTTAGGATTCTGATTGAGAAAACTGTTGTTTTTGTGTACAACCCTTACAGTTTACAAAAATCTACTTAAATAAAGGAGAAAAACTCATTTAGAACTCATCCAAGCTATGCTACTTTAGCACTGGGCAAACCTTCGGGAGACGTTTGAAGCAAACTGAAGACGTGAAGTATAAAGGAATGATTAATGTGCACAGTAAACTTGCTTGGAAGGTAATCACGCATGGGCTAATATCAATCTTTACAAAGTTGGCAGACTTCCTAGATAAAGGAAGTACAGTAGATCTAGTCTACCCAGGCAGCAAAAACATTTGACCTGTTGCCCTGTGGGGTGGTGTCACCTAGGCTTGGTGAGGGGGTCAGGATTAGGTTACAGGGGATGTGGAAATGTACCACAGGGGAGCAGGTGGGGTACCCACAGGAGTTAGCAGTGAGCAGGCAGAAAGGTGGATCTGAGGACCAAACTTCAGACTTTTGTTCCTTGCATTAATGCACAAAAAGCAGACACACAGAGCAGATTGCTGCTGTTGGTTTTTTTTAAACAGCAGAAGAGCAGGATTTCTCCCACAGAGAATGGGGTGACCTTCTAGGCTGTGATTGCCTGGGCTCAAGCTGAGATGAAATGCAGTGATGAGGAGCACGAAACTGTGCTCTGAGGTTAAATAATGAGGGCTTCGGTTATCAGTTCAGAGCTCAGTTAAAACTGCAGAGGAGGAGGAAGACCTAATTGCGTGTTGCCAGCCACAGGGCAAATGAGAGCTGCAGCATGCTGGGGCAGATCCGGGAGCAGAGGGGCCATGGCACGCTCCTTGTTCCCTGGCTCCCCTCGAGACACACAAAAGGCCCCTTCCTGGCAATTGTGCCCACGTCAATCATTAGCTAGAAACCCTGAGCTGGGTAAATACGTTTTGGCTTCCCGTCTTGATGACAGATTGGGTGTTACATCACAAGGTGGGACCATTTGATATGACAACACGCTATATATTCCTGCTGTTACCTCTGCCCTTCCTCTCCCACTCTGAGAGCAAGCAGGCTGTGTGGGCATCGAGTCGCTCTGCCATGAGGACTGCCAGGCAGTTTGTACAGGTGGCTCTGGCCCTCTGCTGCTTTGCAGGTGAGTGTTTCCTGCTATACCACATAGTTGACTATAGCTAGACCAGAGACTAGGCTATCTGTGAGAGTATTTGGGTGTAGCAATGTGTTAGAGACCTTGTTCCATGAAGGAATGCTCTTTCTGAGAGCACAGCAAAACACCAGACTGCAAGATTCAGGTTTCAGCAAACCTGATGCAGGCGACTGTTTTCATCATGGTTTATAGGAGCAAATTGCTGAGGGAGCAGTGCTAGTGCAGGGCAGGAGTTTGCACGTGGAAGCACTGATACAATGGCGAAGCAAAGCTATGTGAAATGGCATCTGTGGCCATGTAAGCAATATAAACACTGCATTTTGTATCATCTATACATTTTCTGTGCTATTCCTAGTAACTGAGAAGTTTGCTGTGGGAAGGACAGTGCTAGTGGTCAACAGTCACCTGAAATGTGCATGTCTGAGCTCTTGGAAGTCAAATACAAAGTCTTGCAGAAGACTTTCAACTGAGTGCAGGCTTGAAAATACCTACATTTCTTTCCTGGAGCATCTTAGGAACTGGCTAACACACATGGCCTCCTACTGAAAGTGCACTGAAACTTCATTTAATAACCTCTAATTCATTTTATGAATGTACATCACTGGCATAATGTAAAATAGCATTTTCTTAAACCTAATAAGCCAATCAACGACAGTCTCTAAATGTAACTGTTTTGTGAAAAGATTTGCGT